TTTTTTTTTTTTTTTGTCGTGGTTATGAGTTGATGTGTTGCTAGGTACCAATGTTAAAGATGTAAAAATTAAAGGTTTGCTATAGACTATGGTTTGCTTCAGCCTGGTGATACCTTGGCATGTTTTCCAGTTTTCAGCGTGGTATCACAATTATTTACAGCTCCTGTTAAATTATAATACTTTCAAGAGTTCTGGTGAATTTGTATCAGAAATCAGTAGCAGAGGAGCTTTTGGAGAAAGAAATTCCTCTAAAATTTGTAGAGGTTGATGAGGAAGAGTCGAGGCTAGTCCTCAGTAATCGCAAGGCTGTATCTGATAGTCAGGCCCAGCTTGGAATTGGTTCTGTTGCGGTTGGCACTGTTCAGACCTTGAAACCTTATGGTGCCTTTATAGACATTGGTGGAATTAATGGCCTTTTGCATGTGAGCCAGATTAGCCACGACCGTGTTGCGGATATTGCTACAGTGCTTCAGCCTGGTGATACTTTAAAGGTGAATGTCTTGCAGTCATAGATATTTAAGAAAATTAACTTAGAAATTTAAGCTATTACACAAAAACCCGCTATATTCTGGATTTATAAACACCCATGAGCTTTTAAGTTATTTTAGGATCCAATCCTTTGAATGTACATTAGGCAGAACAGAAACTTATGTTAGGAGCTTATTTGTTGTAATAACAAAAGAAAATTGTTTTACATTCTCTCATTTTTGTCCTGTTTTCTCAAATAGGCTAGATCTTGAAACAGTATCTGTAAGTCTTTACCTCTTAATTGATTGTCTATGAAGAGAATTTATAGCTCTGTGTTATGCCGGGTTGTAGGTTATGGTTCTAAGCCATGACCGTGAGAGAGGCCGAGTAAGCCTGTCAACTAAGAAGTTAGAACCTACTCCTGGTGACATGATTCGCAATCCCAAGCTTGTTTTTGAAAAGGTAAATGCAATCTGAACTTTTTGCTTCAGCATTTTCTTGCTTACGTTGAATGAAACTTGAACAGAAATAGAAAAGATATTTGAATGTTGATCATACTGTTGCCGCGTCTACATTGAACCAATCTTCACTGCACTGTTTTGATATTCTTCATCTGTAAATTAAACCATTTTTTTAGGCTGAAGAGATGGCTCAGACTTTTAGGCAAAGAATCGCACAAGCAGAAGCCATGGCCCGTGCTGATATGCTAAGATTCCAACCTGAGGTAATTAATTCGTTCGCCTTGGAATATATTACTTTGCTACATGGAAAATTTGCTTCACTCCCCGCCTACCCAACATACACACACACACTATTTTTTTTCCTTCCAAAATAATAACCAATGAAACTAAAAGTAGTGATGTAAAGGAGCGTATTTCTTATCCAAAAATCCGCAAGTATATATTGATTTTGGATGTTAGTGTCAAAGCAAATCTTTAAACAAAAAAAAATCTTGATGATGTTCTCTGTCAATAACTACTCTTGATCGACGCCATTTAACCACACGATGGATTCGGTAAGTTGTTGCCAATAATCCTTTTCCCTCCAAAGCAAGCATAAGAGTTCAGTCTCACTCACTAGTCTAAGAAAATCAAAATTTCCCAAAACGATAGGCAGTAGTGCTTTTGTTCAATCAACTAACTGATACCCATCTTTTCTCTCATGTGTTCCAGAGTGGTTTGACATTAAGTTCTGAAGGAATCTTAGGGCCATTGACTTCAGACCTGCCGGAAGACGGTTTGGACTTGAGTGATATCCCTCTAGCTGACGATTGAAAACAAGCTGCACATTCTTAAATTTCTCTACCTCAAAAACATTAGTTTTACCAACATTTTCATGAATCCCTTACAACTGTGTTGTTCGGTAATGATGGATCTTTCCTTTCAACATTATTCTTCAAAATATTTCAATTTCTTCACTTGTTTACTGTATATCAATCAAATATGACCCTATTCGAAAAATTTTGTGGCGCCTTAGCGCATGCATCTCCAGTCCTAGTGTGAGTTTAATCTATTCATCTGCGTGAATTCATTTAGTCCTGGTGTGAGTTTATCTATTCATCTGCGTGAATTCATTTGTTGTTGAGACGCTTCTAGCACACCTAGTGAACTCATTTTTTTAACAAAATAGCAGATGCTTTTAGCACACGTCTAATTACATAGGAACATGATACATAAGTTAGCTGTTTGTATAACCAAGCCTCATTGAAAATGCATGATTTGACTACGTTGGTTACCTGAGAATAATTACAAATATAAATTATACAACAATGAAAAATGAGGGTTTAATGAACTAAGACCACTTGCAGGGCATTTTTATGTACAGCTGAACAATATAGTGGCAATTGTACTTAAACACCATGTCTCTATTGCTGCTTCCCATCAGCTAACTTTCGACCGATCTCCAAATGTACCTAATGAACTAAAGATGCTCAATGGGACTCCTTTTAATGCAATCAGCACAGCAGCTGATGAGTAGTCCAACACAAAACTTTTACAAGCCCGTTTGCTCTGGCAGCAGGAGTAATATAACCCTTTCACTAAATGAGTCGTGATATCAACTTAAGTCGAAACCAGCATCAGAATTTATGGCATACAGTAGTTTCTCCTCCATTTGCTGTTTGCTGTATGAAAATGCAGACCCAGATAATCATGTTAGCAAATGCTAAAGTCTATTGCTGTACGCACAAGCAGATAGGGTGAAGTTTAACTATAGGTCTTCACAATTCAACTAAACCTTTAGTAATTATGTATTCTGTAATTTTGACATTGTTTGTAATGGTAAATGAACTGGAGGTACTGGACACTTCCGAACCAGAGACATAACTAGTTCAGATGTTCTCAGCCAGGCATAATTTCGGAAAAAAAAAAAAAAGAACTAGTGACAACTTTGCAAAGGCTATAAAACTACAAACCTTCTGTAAGGAGGAAGTTTAAGAAGATTCATGCAAGTGGCAGATGTTGGCAACCGGTCAAGAGCTTCATCAGATGCATTACCAGCTGTCCTGTTGGATGAAAGAGAATAAAAGATAACAGATGAGATTCACAGGCAGTTAAGTATAAGGACTAACACTGGCGATAAAGTGTTACCTCTGTATGCAAAATGTGGGCTCCAAATATTTAAATCCAAGCAAAGGCCCACGAGAACATCCAGTTGCAAACCTGAGACCGGACAAACAAGATTAAGTGTTTCACGAAATCAGGAATCTGAAATTGCAATGGGGAATTCCGTAACCGGGTATACCAGTACTTTCGTGTTCGAACTTATCAGTTACAAAATTGTCTCTGGCTTTTGAACTATTACACGGTCCAAATAAGTTCATAGGAATGCAATCTATTGACATTTCCCATTATAGTTGGATAAAAAGATCTGAAGTCCCCAAAAGCCAGATTCAAACACATAAATTACAAACATGTAATAACCATCAGTTACAGTGGAAAGAATGAACTATATCAGAGAAGAAAAGGAAACAACATAAACAAAGTTGTGAAAAAAAAAAAAAAAAAA